TTTCTATTCCTTATTTTATTCTTTTATTTATACATTGATTTCTTATTAATTTTTAACATTATATACAATATTAATGATTTCATTTTTTAAATTGTATTTAGATTCCCTTTAAAGTAATAATTTCATACGATTTTCAATAGATGCAAGCAATTGATACTGTTACTATATATTCTAGACTAGAATTTTTTTTAAGTAAAAGAATGACTCAGTATTCTAACCATTCAATGAAAGCTGATCTTGAATACAGTCAGAAATTGCTTTGTTTATTTAAAAAATTTTTACAAAAAATAAAAATCAAACAAAATTTACTTTACAAGTCGCTGCGTTTGGCACCACAGTCCACAAATTCTGTGTGCCACCTTGCTTGTAAAAATACAAATAAAAAATACAAAAATATTCATTCAAAGCCTAGTAGAAATATTTTGGGTTGCAAAAATCGAAATTAATATGCATAACGCGTAGCGGAAAGAAAAAACTTAAGAAAATTTATGCAGTGATGAGTGAAAAAGGATGCCATGCGGCCCAAGTGTCTGGAAAATAAAGTCAAAACACGCTCTCGGTCCGGATGGCAAAGTCAAATGTCACAGGGCGTGTGTGACAAGTGCTCTCTAATGAGCAGGAGGATACATTTTAAGAGGCACCTACCTAAGTGTTTGTCAAATCAAGCCAGAGACCTAACTAAAAAAAAAAAAAACCAATGAAGCTTGAGCGGAACATTCCAGGCAAAGGCAAGTCAATTAAAAAAAAAAAAAAAGTCAAAGCAGCGACAAGTACGTGACGCTAGAGATAGAGAAATGCCGAAGCAGAGTGAGAATGGCTTTGGAGTTTTGTGCAAATATTTTCAGGACAGCAACTAAAAGTCGCAGACTGTCTTGAAATTAAAATTACAAGACGCTTGGATGAATCGTCTCTCTGCCAGGTGAGGGGATGCGAAGTAAACGCTGACAAAAGTTTTGAGGTAACATTTCTTTTACGATTCGCATGGGTGCCAGAAAGTAAGCAAAAGTAAGTCGGAAAAGTGCCACTCGCGGCGCCTCTGTCATTAATTTTGTATATCATTGAGTTTTACGATGCTCATAAATATGAAAACGTTTAACTCTTTTGCCAAGACACAAAGCCCTCCCTCCCTCTCCCCTATCCAGCTCACGCACACTGTTGCCCACCTCTTTGGCAGCGTTTGCTCTTTATATGAGACAAACTAATTGTTGCTGCTTACGCGCTCTGCTCGTAATGTCTTTTTAAGCGGGGACACGCTCCCCACATGTTTTCACAATGTTTCACTGATAAAACAACAACAACCCRAGCAGACACCAGCAATTAGTGGGTTGATTGTGGGGCACATATCGTGCTAAAGGGGGGGGATACTACAGTACTGTCGCTTTATCGCTGGAGCTATCTCTCTCTCTCTCTCTCTCGGTCTCGATCTCAGTCTTGATGTGCAACAGCTTGAGGTAATTTTCAACTTTTCTCAACGGCTCCTCGTTGACAGGCGTTTGCCTGTTTTGTTTGGTTTTAATTAAAGCCCAAAACACAAATTGTATACAAGATACTCAAGCACACACTCTATAGAGGGTGGGCTGGACAAACTTGCTCGAGAAATTGACATTTAATTGTGGTTTTTAAAATGGGTTTTAAGTTGTAACTCCTATTGAATCAATGTATAAAGTATTTCCACTGAAGAAAACATCTTTGAATATAGTAAAACATTTATTATTCTTATTTTTATTATACGCTCTAAAAATAGATGAATTCAGTTGTTTTTTGTTGAATCAAAATTTTGATTTACTAACATAATTTTAAAATATGGAGTACTTATTAAAAGGATTTTCCTTTAACGAACATTGAGGTTTAACTAGGCGTATGCTTAATATTAGGTAAATATGCTCTATTTGTGATCAACTATCATATTGAAACATTTCTCTTGACCTTACCATGGAAGATTTTACTATACTATATATGATATACATATGTTATAGCAGACAGAAAAGCTGAACTGCTCTGCTCAGTCTACCTGACCTCTCATTTGTAATATTGTAGTTGTCCGCTGAGTTGTTGTTGTTGAGATCTTGGGGATAGTTTATAAAGATCTTTCCCATACTATGTTTGGATATAACAATACTTCAAATACGATCACAGAGACGTGTAAATACTTGAAACGAAAAATGATTATCAACATAAATATTTTGAGTCTAGATCACTAAAAATACATTTTTATGTATTTGACTTTATGTAAGCCGTTTGGCTGACTCGATTACAATTTTGATAGCTTTGAGCTTTGAAGAAAGAAATCAAGAGCATTGGCCGCGCCCAGCTAAGACCAGTAATGCAGCTACCCATGTATTTCAGGTAGCGCAATTTGAAGCCGAAAACCAGTTCAGACCCAGCTTATAAACAAATCTAGGCCAATTACAACGCTTGAATTTCAATTGAGTCAACATTAATTGTTCGAATGGGTACAAAAACTGCAGTTGTTATAAAACCGTTGTATATGGTGGTACTACATGGGGATGTAGCTCAGATGGTAGAGCGCTCGCTTAGCATGTGAGAGGTACGGGGATCGATACCCCGCATCTCCAAGGATATTCGAACCAACTTTTTGCTGCACTCACTCAACTTATTGTGCTTGATATATTTTTTGTTGTCAGCCACTATTGCAAAACAAAGTAAAACAAGTAAGAACGTTGCAGTCGGGCGTTACCGACTGCGGAATACTCATTCACATCCCATCAACAATTTAGTAGTTAAGTTTCGTTTTAATACTGTAGAATATACAGGTTTTTCCGATTTGCCACGCCCCAACTGGGCGTAGACACCTCATTTTTGGTCAGTTTTTAGAAAGAGATAACGTTACCCTAACTGCAAAGTTTGAATGCTTACCCTAAAAAAATGTGAAAATTACAGGGTATTTTTCTATATGCCACGCCCCTAAAGAGGCGTAAAAATTATTTTTGGGGAATCGATAGAGGAGGCTACCAGTAACTCAACTATCCAAATTTGAAGCTTCTAGCTATTATACTTTAGGAGATATAAACTTTTGCGGTTTGCCACGCCCCCTGTGGGCGGACATATATCCGACAAAACTTTTTGGTCTTGGGTGATCAGTCCGAGTATATATANGCGTTCATACGGACAGACGGACAGACGGACGGACAGCAAGACGGACATTGCACAAAACCAATATACTGATTCACTTTCGTGAATGAGTATAATGATTCACTTTCGTGAATGAGTATAATAACAACATGGACAAGTCGAAGCACAACAAAACACTTAAAACAATTAAAAAATAGCAAAACACATAAATTTTGAAAAGCGAACAGCAACAGCTTAACTAGCTTAGCCGCTGACAGGGAGGAAAGTTTGTCCTGTGCGGTGCAGAAATTAAAACAAAGGCTTCTCATAAATAGCACATCATGTATCATTTACAATACCCAAACCTTCCACTGGACCCACGAGTTCTCTTTGCTTCCTGTGCGCTGTGCGCTGCCTGCGGCTGCGACTGCGACTGTGGCTGTGGCTGTAGCTCACTGAACAACTGCCTTTCCCCCTTAGGTCCTGTTCGTCCTGGGACCATGTTATGTTGCTGGCTTTGACTGCCTGTTTAATTGCTGGCAAAGTTCTGTGAATGCAGGCGAGTAAACAAACATTGGCATATTGTGCCTGATTTATGTGCGACAATGTGTCCTGTTCGCCGTGTGTTGCCTTCCTGGAGTGGGCGGCAAATCAAATTACGCGACCTGATTGTCGACATGGGGGCGCCGCGCAATGCACGCCGCCTCAGTCTGTGCGGCATCTAATGCCAAAGTCGTTTGGCAGTTACAAAGCGGCCTTTGAATATTCATTAATGCGCCAGCCTCTTGGTAGTCAAGAAATGCAGACGTCTGCATATTTGTAAGTCTATTGGCGGTAGCAGATAAAAAAAAAAATGAAAAAGGAAACCCATTCTTGGATTCCGTATATATCTTGGAGATGCGGGGCATCGATCCCCGTAC